CAGCCCTGAACATGTTCTTTTTCAGACAGTCTGTTGAGAGGCCATAAAACTGTGGCTCAACCACATGATTTATACCACCAATGCCTAGGCGTTTTTATGAACAAGCCTTTACTGCCCTTTTCCATTTGCAAAAACAGGGATAAAAATGGACAGATGGCACGCCTGTGTGAAAGCAACCCTATTTTTTTTTTTTTTTTTCTTACTGTCTTTTTTTTTTTTTATTTTTTTGTGTGTCCCATTCAAGGATTTCTCTTCACTTCTTGTCCTGTAAAGATAACAGGAAGTGAAAACATATTACTCCAAAGTGAGGCCATTCTCAGTTTAAGTTGCTGAAAACACAGCTTGTTTTCAGTTAGCCAGTTTGCTGAGTGTAAAAAAAAAAAAAAAAAAAAAAAAGAAAAACTAATCTGCCCCATCAGCACACAAGTACCTGTCAGAATACATGGATTAGCAAATGCAATTTATAGATGAAAAATTTTCCAACATGTCTCTTCAAAAGAAGTCGATTAACCACTTACCCTCCAGAGGATTTACCCCCTTCCTGACCAGGCCATTTTTCGCGATACAGCACTGTGTTACTTTAACTGACAATTGCGCGGTCATGCAACGCTGTACATAAATGAAATTTATGTATTTTCCTACAAATAGAGCTTTCTTTCGGTGGTATTTGATCACCTGTTTTTTAATTTTTGTGCTATAAAGACCAACAATTTTGAAAACAAAAACCAAAACAATATTGACTTTTTGCTATACAACATGACCAATAAAAAAAAAAAAAAAAAAAAATCATCAAATTTAGTAATAAATTTAGTCCAAAATGTATTCTGCTACGTGTCTTTGCTAAAAGAAAAATAAAAAATACCAATACATGTAATTTAATTGGTTTATGTGAAAGTTATAGTCTACAGATGGCAGTGTATATACACTGGAATGTTTATACTAGTAATGGCAGTGATCAGAAACTTATGGCGGGACTGTGGTGGGCATTCTGACACTGGGTGGGAACTGCCACTGAGCTCCCAATGACACTAATACAGTGCTCAGCGCTGATAAAAATTACAACACTGTACAGGAAGGGGTTAACTTTTGGGCAAAGGGTTAACGGTGTGCTTTAGTAGGAAAACGTGTTGTGCAGAGAAATACAAAGCAGCATGTCCTTGCTGGCAGGAGAGAGACCCGTGTTTACACACAGATCTCTCCAGTCAGCTTTACTCAGCAATCATCCTGGTGGGACCTGGTGATTTACATCCCTAGCCTCCAATGGTGGCGCACGCCCACTACCGGGAAATGCAAATCACATGCATACACACATACATATACATGATTTTTGCCTCAGCCCTGCAACAGTAGTTCTACTATAGGGCAGCGGGCAAGCAGTTAAGCAAACAAATCGACTTCCGTCGAGCAGGGGAGCCCACACACTGATCAAACTTAAATCGCATTCCTGGTGGACAGGCAAACTTTGAACAGCGAATGACCAGTTTTAGGCACTTGTACAGATGTCCCACTTGGAAGATTCCGGTTTCTGTGGCAACTCAAAATTTCCCCTCACTCAGCTGCAGTGACATTGGTCACTAGGACAAAAACAGAATCTCCCTAGCAATCTCGCTAGCATGGGTACAGACAGCAATGTAATCTTAAGAGGTTCTAATCATTCCATGGTCTATCCAAAATGTAAAAAACTAAAATCCTAGTCTTCATTTGTACAGTAATTCTAGATGGGGGAACAGAGCTGCTGTTCACAAAGAGGCTTGCAATGGTTATTGGTGGTCACAATTTACAGTGTCCCTGTTAGTATTCGTGTTTATCCATAGAACAGCCTCTCTCAGCTAGAGCAGTCGCAGAGCCTTCAAGATGAGTTCTTCCAGAGTTTGCTAGGGGTTCCTTAAGCAGAGGCAAATTGAAGCTCTTGTCTATCCATAGAGCAGCCTCACTCAGTTGGGGTTCTTTGAGAGGAGAAAGATACGGTTCTCATCTTCAAAGTAAATTTCCCCTGATGGGTCCTTCACAGTTCTGGGGTTGACAACAGTCGGCAGAGCCTTCAAGGTGAGTCCATTGGAGCTTTGCCTCTCAAGTATTTAGAATGCCCACTGATGGAGACTCTGGATAAAGAAACACAGGGAGTGGGCACCTTTGGACAGCAGCATTGTCAGTCTGGAAGAAGGGGACAGGAGTGTTAGATGTACTAGCAGATATAGTCACTAACAAATTGAAGCTGACCTCCAGATAATGCGTTATAGGCAGTTACAGCAACAGTTTTGTTCCATTTGGGATAAAGGTTTTATATAAATACATAAAAGCTGGTCATTGTAAACAATCAGGCCAGTGTTAAATTTGTTTTGTCTCATCTCTGTAACCGATATATTCTTCTGCAGAGATTGTTCTTGTGAAAAAAACAGACTTACTGGCCAGGTCACCAAATGAAAATAGAAGAAAGCCTGAAAATTAAAAGGAATGCACATCTAGTGTAATAAAAATAACCTTCCTCTCAAAACACACACACATTTTCAGGCAATCTGCAGTTTGGATTCCCCTCCTAATTTTTTGCATGATAGATACTTTTCGCTCATCCTATAGGCAGGTAAACCTCCCAAAATAGCTACGCTGCAACTTGCTACAGATACAGCTGGGTTGGGCCTGCCCAACTTTTATTTCTACTACCTGGCCCTTGTTAGTTACTCCACACTGGTGGTTTACACTTCCCAATGAGAACCCTGCTCTAGACCTGAAGGAAACCATTGCTGGATCCCCTCAATCGCTGCAATATTTGGGGTATAAAAAAGACCTACAGTAGAGTCTCTTTGGCTGTAACAACAGATAAGGTCACTGAGAGCTTGGGTAACACTTGTTAACCAGTTGCCGACCATAGGTAGCCAAATGATGGCTGCACTGTGGCCGGCCAGTTCTGGGAAGCGGTCATAGGATGTCCTCCCAGAACACGCTTCTCCTGCGCGCCCCCCGGCAATCTCCGTGATCGCTGTGTCCTACGGACACAGCTGATCACATGATGTGGTAAAAGGTCAATCACAGCGGCCTTTTACCACGTGATCAGCCGTGTCCAATGACACACTGATCACCGGGAAACGCAATTGCTGGTTCTCAGCTGCACTTTCCTTTATTGTCAGAGCAGAGGTCGGCACCAATCATCAAGGCACTGATGATCAGTTCCCAGCAGTGCCACCCACCAGTTCCGGGCACAAGTGCCCAGCAGTGCCGCTTACAAGTGCCCATCAGTGCCACCCACCTGTGCCCATCAGTGCAGGAGAAAATGACCTGTTTGAGATTTTTTTTTGTTTCTATTATAAAATTTTGCAAATTTCTTGCTCTTTTTGTTTATAGCGCAAAATATAAAAAACACCCAGCGGCGAGTAAATACCACCAAAAGAAAGCTCTATTTGTGAGAAAAAAAATTATAAATTTTTTTTTTATAGGAGTATAACGTTGCATGACCGCGCAATTGTCAAAGTGCGACAGCGCTGAAAGCTGAAAATTGGCCTGGTAAAGAAGGGGGGGTATAAGTGCCCTGTAGGCAAGTGATTAAAGTATATGTAGACCCTCACCTTGTAAAGCAACCTATTCAGTTTAAAATAAAAACAAAAAAAGGCAACACATGTAAGTATACATATAAAAACAAAAACACAAAACAAAAAAACACAGCATATTACAAACACCTTGTGAGACTTTTTTTTTTTTAAATTATTGGTGATCACATACCCTCTGTTCTCAGCTGCATATAGTTCTCAGGGGGGAGAAACAGCAGGTCACTGATCTTCCCAGTCAATAGCTGTTGGGTATTGGGGGAAGGGAGAGAAGTCTGATCCATTGGAGGAGAGCAGGCTGAGTTCTCAGCACAGCTACAACACTGACCACGCTGTGTTCCCCTGCCTAGTGTGGAGAGTTTTTAAATAGGAAAGCAGAGGGACTGGCAGGACCACCAGGTATTTCACTCAACAAAGCAATACAAAGAAAAGGATACTTTTTCATACAAGTATATGGTACTTGGTAAATATGAAATTTTGGGTTACCATATTTAACACTTTCACTGCCATGTCTGTACGTCATGGGGACGTGACAGTGGGAGGTTTTACACAAAATCCAGTGGCTGAAGCCACTGGGATTGTGTGTAAAACTGACAGGCAGACTCTTGCCTGTCAGGTGCAAGCATTCAGGCAGCTGTGCTGCCGCCCAATTTTTTAACACTACCCCCATAACTACACCCCCCCCCCTTTTTGGCCCACTTCAAATAAAATATATTTTTGGAAGGACTGACCATTAGAGTTATTGTGGCATACATATCCATATTACCCAGTGCTTCTTGTGATCCAAGTGCCTAGGTCCAAACACTTGTGGTCATTCTCCCTGAAATAGTAATGATAGGGATGCAGCTGAAGATTCAAATGTCTCAGGAAACAATGAAGAGGACACAGCATGTTACTAATGAGGCCCCAAGAGATACAAGCCAACCTAAAGTGTCCTCCAATAATAAAAATCAGTTCTGGAGAAATTTACCTTTTATCAGTTCTTGTATGTGCAAACAGTATATCCAAATCCATCAAATATTAATGCACAAAGAGACACAAGTTAAAATAGAGTTTAACAGATGTAAACTATTTATTGAATATTTGCCACCAAATATTGTTAAATACATAATCTTGCAGCTTTTCGTTTTCAAGTTAAAATGTCAGAAACAGAACACCAATATTTACAATTCTTATAAGGAATGTTATATAATGACACATTAAGGCGTAAATTTTTTTGGCTTATAATTCTGAAAAGAATGATAATAGCAAAAAAGTGATGCAAAATCTTCATTGTAAGATTATGATAAGCTACAATAAATCTTACAAAAATATGGTGTAAGATGGCAATAATCCCATTTAACATCCTGCATTTATGTCCCTCTTGCGGAACTGATAATTTATACAGTCAAAACTTAATTTACATAATAAAAGTAGCTCTGTCCACCACTGAAAATTACAGCTCTCAGTCATTTACACTTTTCAGGCCACAGTTTTAAAGGTCTGGAGTATCAAGTTGGTTTGATGAATTAAGCGGTTGGCACTTATAAATACATTTAATGCCCTATAAAAAAAACAGAAAAAAGTTTAATTATATTTGTGAAACCAAAATAAATTGCAAAACATGAATTTGTGTATGTGGTTATAGATTTTTCCTTTTTTTTTTTTTGTCAAAGATACTCTCACAATTTAGGTGTACAAATATACAGTATTGTCTAATTTTACCTTTTAAGATACACCTATCACTTGTTAAGATCCATTAAACTGAAAATTCCAGCACAGTGCAGGCAACAAGAGAGCTCTTATCCTTTAACCTTTTTGCTGCCGCTAATTTATGTCATACTTTGGCAGCAAGAAGGGGTTTTACATGCACTCCTGGCTGCTACAGTTGCAAGTTGCATTGGACTTTGCAGTCTTGCTTTGCTTACAGGAGGTTATGTTATTCACTTTTAGTTGGGTATGGAGCAAAGATCCTTGTCATGCTATCTCCTTTACCAGCCCTCTCTGTCTCTTCCCTTGTTTCCCTATTAAAAAGGTTCCCCAGCACTACCTTGCCTCCATAGTGTTCTGTTTCTTACAACCCCTGGCAAAAAAGTATGGAATGACCACTCTTGGAAAACTGTCAAATTGTTTAATTGTGTTACAAAAAAAAAAAAAAAAAAAAAATGATCACAGACAAAAACAAAAACAGAAAGAAAAACCAGTTATCTACTGTTTTTGCAGATCAAACAGAGGAAAGAAAATATGGAATCACTGAATTCTGAAGAGAATATTATGGAATCGTTGAACCCCCCCCCCCCACCCAAAAAAAAAAAAAAAAAAAAAAACACTCCAGTACACTAGTACTTTGTTGCACAACTTCTGGCTTTTATAACAGCTTGAATTCTCTGAGGCATGGATTTAACTATCGTCAAACAGTATTCTTCATCAATCTGACTCAAGTTGCCAGATCAGCTTTGCAGATTGGAGCTTTGTCATGGATCATTTTCTTTAATGTCCACCATAGATTTTCAATTGGATTGATGTCCGGAATATTTGCAGGCCATGCCATTGATATTATAGGTCTTTCTTGAAGGAAAGTTTTCACGGCTTTTGCTCTATGGCAAGATGCATTATCATCCTGAAAAATTATGTCATCATCACCAACCATCCTTACAATTGATAGAACAAAAAAAAAAAAAAAAAAAAAAGTGTCTAAAATCTCATGATCATCTTATATTCCTCTCCTTTGCTTCAACTGACCTCTCTTGTGTTGGAGCCATGATTCATGCCAATCAGCTTCATGCAACAGCTCTCCAAGGTGAGCAAGCATTTTTTTTTTTTTTTTTTTTTTTTTAACTGCAGACCAAATTAGCAGATGTAATCTGATGCAGATGTTTGTTTTAGAACTGCAAAGTATATGGTGATTCCATAAGATTTTCCTCAGAATTGAGAGATTCCACATCTTTTTTCCTCTGCTTGATCTGCAAAAACAATTGCAATTGACTACAGTTTTCTTTCTTTCTTATTTTTCCTAAAGCGTTTCTTAAAGCCAGAAGGTTGGAATGTTAAATGAAAATAGTTTTGAGGCATGTCTGACTTTTTTTCTTTTTTTTCGACACAAAAACAATTGAATGAACATTTTCCAAGAGTGACGAGTCCATACTTTTTGCCAGGGGTTGTATGGTTCTCTGCTCTACAACCACACCACCTACAAGGTAATGTGCTAGAACAAATCACAAGACTGTCTTCCTTCTGGGTTCACGGGCTCTGGTCATCTGAATTACCGAGCCACAAATGATGTCACGCACGCACACAAGAGTCATAAAGCTCTGAAGGGATGTCACTGGCTGCAGAAAACAGTGGTATCCCAAACTGTGAACGTTTACGGGATATTCCTTGTAACTGCAGGTAAGTTTTATTATAAGCTTACCCATAGGTACAAGTGTCCAAGCGGGGGTTTACTACTGCTTCAAGAGAGCTATTAACTGAGGCAGGGCAGACCTGACCATAGGAATCCTTTAAAAAAAAAAAAAAAAAAGTTGCAATGCACACTATAGCATGTACCATAGGACAGCCTTCCTATTTTAAGATAGTTTGCTACTAGCAGCTTCACAAATGACAGCTGCAAATCTTGCCTCTCCACAGCTCTACAAAGGAGTCTCTGTACAAGACTGATTTTTGCAGTGAAAGAGCAGGGTACATTGGAAAATTCCTACCAGTGGCTGCTATAAAGTGGGAGGGGATGCTTCTGGAGGAGAGCAGAGCCTGGAGTTCAGCATTAAATATGCCTGTGCTTATTACCTTAGAGAATAAATACTTTAACAAGGTACTTACTTTCCATCTTTAAAATAGGTTTTCAGAGTATCGCTAAAACTTTTAGAGTACTTTACAAATTCTTTCTTTTGGTGCTCAAGCGCCTGTAGACAGAAAAGGTTATGTTAATGCGTGGACAATAACATAGTAAGGAGGAACATTGGACTGAATACATGCATTAAAAGGTAGATGTAAACCATAACTGAACAGCATATGGTTTTCTAAAGCACAGGTGTCAAACAAATGTGTAGTGGAAGGGCCACTTGCAGTCTTTACTGCGGTAGGGCGACAACACAGACGCACAAATTGGGACAGATGTTATCCAATATTTTTAAATGAAACCTCCAGATTTAAAATGCACTAAAAAAGATAAACTGAAATATTAACATTTTAAAGTTTATAATATTTTAGTGGTTGGGTTTACATCCACTTTAAAAAGTGAACTAATGTGTCCTGAAGGATGTTGGTACATTATAGTAAAATGTACTCTTATTTTAAAAGTAATTTTGCTGTCCAAAGCAGAAAAAAAAAAAATGCCCTATAAAGCCTTTATAAGACAGTAAATCTCCCATCTATACATCTTTGATTTAGTTTCTCTTGTCCAATGAAGTGCTGCCCAATAGAATATACTTACCATCTTTTTACTTTCCTGCTGGTAGCATAGGAAAGCTCTGTTTAAGCTATGCATTGTTAAAGTCAAGGCTTACCTACAGCCATCAATTTCCTGTGACAGTAGTGACTGGTGCAATGCTGTTACATGGAGTGAATTACACACTCCTTCATGCCTGGAAGTACCAGACATTTCATTTTGGCTCTCGGTACTGAATAACGTGGCAGGGGAGCAACAGAAAGAAGAGCATATGTTGGGGAGTAGTGAGGGATTGAAGCAAATCAGTTGCTTTGCCTCGAATGAGCAAAGCACAATATTTTGTTTTAGGTATTTTAACTGACTTTGCCATCTGCATTACTAGAATGTTGCACAAAGGAGAAGGCATCCTGCATAATATATTATAGATTACATCAGAGTACTCAATCTAATCCCCATTTAAAGGGGTATTAAATCCAAATATGCAATATATTGCAGCTAACCAATCAGTGGATGTGATGGCTGTTTTTTTTTTTTTTTTTTTTTTTAACTCAAGCCCCACCCCCTCCACCCTGCCAGTAGCATACCTCCTGTTTTATTAAAGTGCCCCCACTCTGGATGGATGAGCACAGGTGCACCTTTGGACAGCAGCATTATCAGCCTGGGGGAAGTGCGGGTTAGATGAATTAGCAGATTTAAATCTACCCATACATTTGTCAGTTTTTTTTTTTCAGCCAGATAGGGGAGATGGAGATAAAAAAAAACAAAAATGGGGGGAGGAGAAGAGGTCCTGATTCCCCCCATTCACACATTTGGTGTAGATGTGGGAATCCCCTCAATCTATGCCTCGAGAGATGATCCTGTCATCTCTGATCTTCCCCTTCTACTGTCCCCAATCCATCTTCTGATAGTACAGAGCTCTAGTGTGTGTTGCTGGGGAGTTTTTTTTTTCCTTTGGGAGAGTGCATGTGATCAGAACAGGGCCAATCAGCACTGTCTAGACAAAGGGTCAAGGGTCATGCAGCCTCATAGGACAGTCACAGCAAACTCCTCCTACAAGCTTTAACCAGTGCTCAGTCAGACACGGTTAGAAGTCACGAGACTGCTACATACTGCTGATGAGTTTAGTAACACTTTAATACTGCATTAATCGAAGATTAAAACCTAATCTAAAAAAACAAAAAAAAAAACAAAAAAAAAAAAAACCAAAAAAAAAAAAAACCACTTACCCTACGATTCTGGTACTGGTACTTTTTGAAGACATTGTTGACTGTGTCAAGAAGTTCCTTTATTGCACTAGCAATATCCCTGTTTGAATAAAAATAAAGAATTGTACTGTTGTAAGTCACAAAGAATGATGCTACTACATGCACATACGAAACATGGTGTCATTCCTATCCATTTGTTTGGTGGCCATTTCATTAAAGCTATATTTACTTCATCTTTGGATAGCTACCAAATTCATATGGCCTGCTGGTGATCTAGCGATGACCATCTATCCCAACACCAAGAAGTTGAAATTATTTGCTCAATGACAAAATAAACCCCTCACTTTGGGACTTTATCAGGCAAAAAAAAAGTGAACTAGTTTACAAACCCCCCCCCTATAATTCTAATACAAAAGAGGACAATAAAAAAAATTAAAAACTTAACACTTGCGGCTGTTAAAGCATGTACAGACATCACAGTATGGACCATACAAAATTCCCACATATATCTCAACAAACTGACTTGAAGACATGTTGTAGCAGTATTCCACACTATGGGACACAGCACTCATGAATTACTGAAGCCACCTAAACACACGTAGTGATGAACACCAATGGGAAAAATAATAAGCAGGCCATAGACCATCCAAAAAGTTAACATGAGCGGTTTATACATAAATGGGTAGATTCTGAAGTAGAGTTACTTTAGATAAAGAGCCATTCATTGGGTCAATGCAGGATCAGCAACCTGATCAACTTTCCCAGCAGAGTGATCACATATGGCCTGTTGCTACAACATACATGGTATAAAAAATCTGGAGATATTCCAGACCAAAAAAAAAACAAAAAAACAAAAAACCTAATAATGTTGTCATTTCCAGAACAGAAGACAAAAAAAACAAAATTAACGCACAAACAAAACACTACAAAGTATCTGTTTAGATGTACATAAGGAACAGAATGGCATTTAGCTGGAAAGAGGTGGCAACAGATAAAGATGAACACTCTTACTGGTTTAAACACACTTTGCAAATATGTGAGGTGGACAGAATAAAACCCCCCTGCTATGGAGGGGATTATCCAGGGTATAGGTCAATTAACAGACAAGCCACTTTCCTCATCAGTAGCAAGGAAGGTCAATTCTGTTCATCCAGACCAGTACAGGAGTTTGGTTTTACTAACCAATCTGAAGAAAATCTGTAAATAGTGTCAGTTTTTAGTAAAATGTAGAGCAGGCACTCACTTGATTGTCTGAAGGAACCTCACTCTGTCATTGATTTCATCAGGTATCTTGCCAAGGATCTGTTTAAGCGCTCGTGCTTTCTCATTTAGCTCCTGGAACTCTGGTTCAGGTCTTTCAATCATATATTCTGAAAACAGAAAACATGAAAAAAAAAAAAAAAAAAGTGTATGAAGCCTATGACAGCATGGACTAGAAACTTTCAACACAAGATTCCAGATACAATAAAAATAAATTAAAAAAAATAAAACATCTTCTTAATGCACTGGACAGAATACTGTAAAACAAACAAAAAAGTGAAAAACTCACCTTCCACATCAGCAGCTGCCATACGCAGGAGAGATTCTGTAAAATTCACTTCTACACTCTTCTTTTCCAGAATTTTTGTAATGATATCTTGTGTGAGCCCTGGATTCTCTTTTTCTGCCTATGTGGGAAGAAAAAAAATATATATATCTATAAACGCTAGTACATAAACATTCTTTTGTAACTATAGAACCAAAAATCCAGAAAGGTGCAGGGTCTCAAATGCACATTTCTGTACAGTTTTCTAATATAGTATATTGCCAACACCTTAGGTATGAGACAAGTAAACAGAATGTACAAGTCATTTTTGCCATAAGATAAAACTAAGCGCCAAACTAAGGCATTGATAAATTTAAAAAAACAGCACAGGATTGCCATTTGTCCCAGGGCCATTTTAAAAAGTGGCACCCAGAGCTCCTTTGAGCTGCAGTTTACAGATGAGTAGTGATGTCATGAGTGATAGCAGAACACTTCCTCTGGGCAGGTTGGGCTACTGCAGCATCCTCTTGCAGATTACTGCTACAGCAATATATTGCTGGCTATTAGAAGTGATCTGTTGCTGCAGAGCTACATGGGAGATGTGCTTCAGGTCGCCACAATGAAGAAAATAAAACAAGACAAAAAAAAAAAAACACACACTGGTTAACAGCAATGACACACCGCCCTGCATGGTCCCGCATGTCACCAAGTTGCTGTCGGACATTGAATTATCACTTTTTACACTTCAAAAAGTTTGTGAAAAAGAGCAGAGCTGTGTGATGTGATAGAATGCACATCACACCACCCTCCTGCTACACATCTCTGCATCCCAGAATTCTGTGTGGACAGCAGTGGTTTGGATTGCAGGGCAGTGTGAACAGGTCCTGATACAGAAGATCCTTGTGATCCAGAAAAGGCCAAGGGGAGACTCTCAGAAGTTGGACTACGTCGAGTGCTATGCCCTCCTGGGCCAGTTTGGAGCCAAAAGATTCATCAGAATGTCCTCGGGTTCAATCATGCGTGGCAGATGTAAAAGGATCTTTAGCGGAGGAATGGCATAGATCAAGTGAAAATGTCGACCAGTTAGTTGTCTTGGTCTATGCCTATACCCCTAGTTAAAAGCTTTTTTTTCTCCCCTTATCTCACGTCCACAGACTCCACCTTTCATGTGACTGGTTCCCTGAAGCAGCTTTCATTGGCAATCTGGCTGGCAGTCACAGTCCTGACATCAGACAAAGCAGTACCCATAATCATGCACTGTTAGAGGCACAGAGGGCCCACTCACAACCTGGAGCACCAGAAAGTAGTGAGCATTAGCTGCTGGGGGGGAGAGAATAAAGTACTGTATGTAAAAGTGCTTTTTGTGGGTACCCTAGGCAAAAAAAAGCATAGACTGACAATAGACTCGCACAGGGTGGCTCGGGAGCGACCTATGTGGCTTCCTATGGTGATGCAATGAGAAGAACCAGCAGAGAACCCCAGAAAAGGAGGTTCATAGCTGCTCTTTGTAATACCAGCAGAGTAATCACATTATTTAAAAAAAAAAAAAAAAAAAAAAAATGCTGAGCAATAAAAGGGCTACATTTTTTTACTACGCAGAATAAAAGGTCAGTGTCAACAGGTTTTTAGTCATTTCCTAACTACTACTCTCCCCATAAACAAAAAAAAGACTGCGAATGCAAAAGCAGCTCAAATGCAGGTCAGCTACACCTGCAATGAATTCTGAATGCTCTCAGAAGTGTCTTATACCGATGTCAAATACCATAAGCACTGACATTTGCCTATTGACACCCAGACCCAATGTAGATCTGCCAAAAAGCCTTCTTATAGGTTTTATTTTTATTTAATGGTTATAAAACTGTGGCTTCCCCATTGGCTGCCAAAGACCAACATCAGGAAGAGGAATGATCAAAACTAGGAGGTGAAATACTTTGATTACTTCTGATTTTCTGACAGGCAGCTGTAGCAGACATGTCCTCTTTCTGCCACATCTCAGTTTCCCTAACTCAGTGGTGGGCAACCTTTTTTTTCAACTGAGCCAAATCTCGCCAAAACCATGATTGAAATTTATTTTGAGAGCCACATTTTTAAAACTGAAAATACATCTCCCATATAGTAATTCATCCCCCATAGTAATTCATCCCCCATAGTAATTCATCCCCCGTATAGTAATTCATCCCCCGTATAGTAATTCATCCCCCGTATAGTAATTCATCCCCCGTATAGTAATTCATCCCCCGTATAGTAATTCATCCCCGTATAGTATTTCATCCCCCGTATAGTATTTCATCCCCCGTATAGTATTTCATCCCCCGTATAGTATTTCATCCCCCGTATAGTATTTCATCCCCCGTATAGTATTTCATCCCCCGTATAGTATTTCATCCCCCATATAGTATTTCATCCCTCATATAGTATTTCATCCCTCATATAGTATTTCATCCCTCATATAGTATTTCATCCCTCATATAGTATTTCATCCCTCATATAGTATTTCATCCCCCCATATAGTATTTCATCCCCCCATATAGTATTTCATCCCCCCATATAGTATTTCATCCCCCCATATAGTATTTCATCCCTCATATAGTAATTCATCCCTCATATAGTATTTCATCCCCCCATATAGTATTTCATCCCCCCATATAGTATTTCATCCCCCCATATAGTATTTCATCCCTCATATAGTATTTCATCCCCCCATATAGTATTTCATCCCATATAGTAATTCATCCCTCATATAGTATTTCATCCCTCATATAGTAATTCATCCCTCATATAGTATTTCATCCCTCATATAGTATTTCATCCCTCATATAGTATTTCATCCCTCATATAGTATTTCATCCCCCCATATAGTATTTCATCCCCCCATATAGTATTTCATTCTTCATATAGTATTTCATCCCCCCATATAGTAATTCATCCCTCATATAGTAATTCATCCCTCATATAGTAATTCATCCCTCATATAGTAATTCATCCCTCATATAGTAATTCATCCCCCATATAGTAATTCATCCCCCATATAGTATTTCATCCCCCATATAGTATTTCATCCCCCATATAGTATTTCATCCCCCCATATAGTATTTCATCCCCCCATATAGTATTTCATCCCCCATATAGTATTTCATCCCCCATATAGTATTTCATCCCTCATATAGTATTTCATCCCCCCCCCCCCCTCTTCTAGTAAGCCAAGTCCCCCGTGTCAATTCACTTACCTTTTGCATTCCTCTCGCTGTCTTCCCGCGCCGTTCGGGTCTTCAGGGCGGACTGTGAGAGGAGCCTAGCTCCCCTCCCCTCACGTTCGGCACGCTGCCCCGCCTACACACATCCTGACAGCCACATCCGCGGGCCGGATTAAAAGGTCCGCGCGGACTTTTGGGGCTGCCAACCGAGAGGAGGCAGGGGAGCGGCCGACCGAGAGGAGGGAGGGGAGCGGGCGCCCGGCACACAGAAGAGCCGCATTAGAGTGGGTAAAGAGCCGCATGTGGCTCGCGAGCCGCGGCTTGCCGACCACTGCCCTAACTGCTCCAAATAAGTAGATAAAAGGTAACAAAGTTAAGAGTGTTTTCTATGGCACTAGACATCAAAAGAAAAGAATGATCAAAGTGGCCCAACTCTCTCAGGTCACCTTATTTATCTGAAAAAACTGTGCAACTCATAGTAACCACCTTCTGCAAATCTGCGCTATAAAAAACGTAAAATAGGCAGAATTATGTTGGGACAAAATTAGACCACTTCTTCCAATGCTATTCTAAAACAAACACCTGTGTACTAGTAGAAAAAATTCCCTAAAATAGGCCACCTTCGCAGAACAGCCATGCCTGAGCACCTTCGTAATCAGTAATGACTCATTTACATTGAGTGGCACACCTATGCTCAGTGTTGGGTAAATTGGGCCATTAGTGTTTATTATTTTCTTGGTGTAACCTCAGCAGGGAGAAGTACATGAGGTCGCTTATCTGAAAACTCTGCAGTATCTGTTACCTATCGCTGGTTAAATAATTAGCTACAAAATTACACAAAACCCCTGCAATTCTATAGAAGGCTTTGCAAGATATGTGGAGAGGGGTCAGTAGCTCTAACATATTAATAAGAGCATGATTCATTACATCTGCCAGCTTTAGAAGAACTCAATCTGCCACATCTAAAATGCAGTGTAGGTCACCTTGGCAAACAAACAGAGGTGGATATGCCCCATGGGTCGCATGGGAAAGCTTTAATTACATTTGCATTTCATCTGCCTGATTAATGATCTCGCATGGGAAGATGAGAAAGGTTTGAGGCCTGACGTCTGCTTCATTACAAATCTCAGCACACGTATAAGTAGCAGGTATAAAGAAAAACTTGTGTTCTAACAATCAGAAGAATTTTAAATAGTACATGAAACAAATGGAATGGCCAGACAATATACTTCTGTTACGGAGATACAGAGCTGATATTACACTATAGTGAACTGTGTATACCTCCATCAGAGATTGATAGGGAGCAGTACACTTAAATAAGTAATAGCCAGCTATTGAGTATCTACAAATCAACGGTCTTCTTTTTAACAGATACATCCTGGTGACCAATGTCACAGGGGTTAAATGCAAGTAAAATACAAACTTCTGACTGGTTATCAGGACAGGGGAAAATCCTCTCACGGCAACACTTGCTCAGGTGACAACTGTCCAAGATTCGGTTTCTTCTTCTGTGGAGAGTTTACTTGTCAATTCTAGTTATCTCTTCAAAAGTTAAAGTATAATTAAAGGCAAAATATATTCTTAAAATTATGGATATACTGGAGAGGGATTAGAGCACTTGTCCGTGCCTCTACCCCCTGCCCCATTAAGAGATTCACTCTATTTGTCCTGTTTACCATTACTGAAAGTAAAACCCCAAATTTTGATTTGTCCTCAGAAATGTAATAGAGGGGAACCTATTTGCAGGAATTTCCTCTCACTTCCTGTTTGCAGAGATTTCATTTCACTTCCTGCCCCACAGCCAATGGGACACAGATGGAAAAAAAATCAAAACAAAAAAAAAACCTGATGGGTTATAACCCTCCCTTGTTCTATCCAAAACGGCTCAGTTCACATCTGGGCGTTTTCTATATCATGGACAGAAACGGTATGATTCTGCCTATAATCA